AGGAATCATTTTTCCAGGGTTGTTTTTACCTTTTCCTTGATTATTCTTTGTTTTTTGGGCCCTTCCATGACTTATTTGGGGGGATAAAACGTTCCAGATCCTTTCTCCCTTCCCCCAGAATTCCACATCCTTTTTCCTCCTTGGCTTTGGAATGGGATTGGCTGCTGCCAGGTGACCTGAGGCCACAGTGCCATGTCTCCTTTCCCAGTTTGTTCCCCTTTTTCCCCTCAATCCATGGCAAGGTTTGGGCTGGAATAACTTCCCTTCCTCTTCCTCAGCGGATCCTGGAGCCGGATGATTTCCTGGATGATTTGGATGATGAAGACTATGAAGAGGATACGCCGAAGAGAAGAGGGAAGGGGAAGGCCAAGGTGAGGGCAGCCAGCTGGGTCCTGGTGTCGTTTTGGGGGCAATTCCTGGGAAATTTGAGACACTTGGAACAGCCCCAAACTCCTTCCAGGGCTTGAGTGTGTCTGTGTTGAGCCTCATGGTTGGGAAAACTTGGGATGCGCTCGACCTCGTGGGTGGGATGAGCCAAAACCCCACCCTGGGAGCTTGGAAAACTCATCCCAAACCCACTCCCCAAAAAGAGTAGGGAGAGGATGGTAGAGAAATCCCACCTGGATCTGCCCCTTCCCAAAACGGGAAGGACCCCCTGAGCATCCCAAGGGATCCAGCTCATCCATCAGTCCTCCCATCCCAGTGCCATTCCAGGCTGTTCCCACTACGTGGCACTGTCGGATCGCCACACTGGATCCCCGGCCTTGTCCTCCCAGCAACCAGGAGCTTTTGGAGCCACAATTTTCCCTAATCCTGAGCTTTTTTACCCCCTTTTTTTGCCTCTTTTCCCAGGGCAAAGGTGTGGGAGGAGCTCGGAAGAAGCTGGATGCTGCCATTTTGGAAGACCGGGATAAACCCTACGCTTGCGACAGTGAGTACTGGAACCCTCTCCCTGGGAGTGGAGCCACTTGCTTTTTGGGACCCATCCACTGGGATCTGGGGTTTCAACTTCCAAAGAAGAGGATTTTCACAGCCAGGGGAGAGAGTTTTTTCAACCCCTCCAACTCTCAAGCCTCCTCTGATGATCCAAGAAGGAATTTTTCCTACTGGGAACACCCAGAGCCAAGGGCTGAGCAGCCCTCCTGGCAGGTGGAAATGAGGAGAAACCTCCCCTGCTCTTACAAACACCCCCCCAAAGGTGGCAAACACCCCCCCAAAGGTGGCAAACACCCCCCCAAAAGTAGCAAACAGCCCCCCAGCAATTCCCAAAGGTTGCAAACAGCCCCCCACCAGTTCCCAGCTGGAATTCCAGTTGGATCTGTGTCCCATCAGGCTGGTTTTGAAGCCAGCCATAGACTCCCCTACCCCCACAGCCCTCATTAAAGCCAATTAATTAATGAGTGTAGCTATAAAACACCAACACAGGGTGCTGGGCCTGGCTTAAAACCTCCTCAACTCCCAGGATTTGATTTCCCAGGCAATCCCTCCTCAGCTCCAGGGATTTGATTTCCACGACCATCCCTTCCTGGCTCCCTCCTCCACCAGCCCAGCCTTCCACCTCAAGGCAAAATAAACCAGTTTGGGGCAAAGGGAGCAAAGAAAGGGGCAAGTGAAGCTTTGAAACCACCTTTCTCTCTTCTTCCTCCTGTCCTGCCAGAGCTGCCCACCAACTTCCTCCCCCCCCAAACACCCCTCCCCCATGGATCTGTTTTTTCCTCCCCTTTTTCCTCGTGTTTGGAATTTCTCTGTCCCTTGGCCTCGGGTGTGTGGGACCTGGTGTGTGTGTCTGGGGGTTTTCTCACGACTTTCTTTCTGTCTTTCAGATAGTTACAAACAAAAGCATTCCTTGAAACCTCCCGACCGAGGTAGTTCACTCTCTGTCTGCTTTGATTTGGTTTCCTTCCTGCCTTTTCTTCTCCTCAAACTTTAGGATTTGGGGGTTTGGTTGGGTTGTTTTCAAAACAACAACAAAAAAATGGAGCCTGGGGGAGAAAAAGGGCTTGATGGGAGGGAGGGGAAGAAAAAAAACAACACAGGAGAAGGGGAGGGAGAAGCCAAAGGCCACTGAACGACGTCAAGGATCCAGCAGCTCCTCTCCAGGCTCTCCTGACCTTTTTCCAGCAGGGAAGAGAGGTCTTGAGTTGCCTCTGGAGAGGGAAAACAAAGATTAATCCCCCCCTGCCGTGGTGGGGATGGGAAAAAAAACACAAGTGTTCACACAAAACCCTTTCCCTCCATCCCAAATCCCACAGCCAGGACCTGCCATCCCGCCCCCCCC